TAGATAAATTTCTTGCCAGTCAGCTATGGACACAAGGAGAGAAATGAGATACACAATGAGAGACAGAAACACCCTCTAATGGCCACCTATATATAGACACCTCTTAAAAGGGTAAATGCCTTGTGTGGACCCCATCAGAGTCTTAAATGGATTATACCAATATTGCTGAATCATCCCCATTGCATCACCTTCCCGTTTACATCTTACAACCTTACATCAGCTGGCAGCTATTAAATCCTTATTACTTGACATAAAAGGTATTATATATTAAATTGTTTTGATATTATATAACAAGTATAATTTTAAAATTATCACTACTATTTTTATTATAAATATTTTTTAAAAAGAGACCCTTCCCAAAATATAGACTAATACTTAATTTCTGATTTCCTCCTTTGTGCTCCAACAAATATGCAGTACTTTTTGGCATAAAGTATAAAAATCATATTTTAAAAGTTTCTTTATACTTTGTTGCATATGGAAGCCATCTCTGTTTAAACTTAAACTTCTATTATGTCTATAGTATCAGTTTCTCCATTGCTATGTATTCTCCAAGTTTAAGTACTCAAATATTGCTGAAATTCTGATATGTCTTTTTTCCAGAGTTAGGCGAACAATATTCTTGCAGCTGTAGAGATGTACCTTAATAAATTATGGTATTTTTAATGTGTTCTTGGCATTGTACCTAATAAAAAATTAAAAATGTGACCTCATTTTGAAGTATCTTTCCAATACTTATACATTCACCATGTATCATGGTATTTCCAGCAGTTATTGCTGTAGGGTTGAAATTGATTTGCTGGTTATTTTTTTAATAGTTCCGTACTTTTATCGAGCTTCATCTTATCTGTTCTTTTAAGTTTATATCCTCGTTTGTGCCCCTGTATCGTAAGTATCTATGGAGCTGATTAGCTGAGCCAACTCCTTCCCATATTGACACTCTGCTATTCAGGGATTTAATCCATTCTGCTCACCCTGTCACACAGCTTGCTCTGCGTGATATTTGGAAGAGAAAAGTTGCCTCTATCTTTTAATTCCTCTTTTTGAAGAACTTGATAATATTGGCTCTTTGAATTTTATTACTTTATTTATTTGTTTGTTTATTTATTGCATTCTCAGAGTACATATATTTCTCTCATTAGTTTCTGAGCACCACTTAAGAGTAGGTCTAATATTTCCCCCTCCCTCATCATGACCAACTGGTCATTTATTGATATTATGGAGAAGTAAATTTTGTGCTGAAAAAGTTTACAAAGTTAGCAGTGGTATTGCATTGGTATAGAGCCGAGGTGGCGCAGTGGTTAAATGCAGCACTGCAGGCTACTTCAGCTGACTGCAGTTCTGCAGTTCGGCTGTTCAAATCTCACCGGTTCA